TCTGCTTTCTGCCCCAGTGGCCTCCACCGAATTCTCTGTGTCACGAGGAGCTGCTGCTCATGTGACCCCGTACAGCTCGCTGCATGCTCAGACACCCTCTTGGGGCCCTGGGACCTCACCACTCAGGGACCCGGGAAGACGTCACCTGGCACGGTGCCGCTCTGTGAGGACCTGTCTGCTGGCCCAGCGGGGAGTCACAGAGCCCAACTCTCTCATCTGGGGTTGAGGAGACAGAAGTCCAGAGGTGTGGCGTGTCTGAGGTCACACGGTCAGAGTTCAGGGTCTGCACTCCCGGCCTCGTGGTTATCCAGCCAGCTGTCTGAGGAGGCCTCCTAAGTAAGGCAGGACCACCGGCCACCAGAGGGAAATGTTGACTGGCCCAAAGGAGAAATCAGATTTAAGGTACCAAACTTGCTCTTAAAAAAACTTTTCTTTTTAACTTTATTTACTTCTTCTGGCCACAGAAAGGCTTTGCTTCATCTCTATTAAACAAATATTTTATTATTTTATTTTGTAGTACTGGGGACTGAACCCAGGGCCTTCACACTGAGGTACATCCCAAGTCATTTTTTTTTTTTTTTGAGACAGAGTCTCACTATGTAGTTGAGACTGACCTGGAACTCACTATGTAGCCCAGGCTGGTCTTGAACTCATAGCGATCCTCCTGCCTCAGCCTCCTGAGTGCTGGGATTACAGGCATGCGCCACCACGCCTGGCCTCTTTTATTTTTAACTTGGAGCCAGGGTCTTGTTAAGTCACTAAGTTGCCTAGGCTGGACTTGTACTAGGGGTCTTCCTGCCTCAGCCTCCCAGAGTGCTTGGATCACAGGTGTGTACCACTATGCCTGGCTGCCATTTTTGTTTTAAGGCTAATGTTGTCTTAAATGCATGGTAGTGTGAAGTGGGTCAGAATAGGTGAGGGGCTGAAAGACAGCCAGGAAAAACCTGAGCTCTTCTGTGGTTTTGGCATGGTGTTTCTTCTTCTTCTTCTTTTTTTTGTACCAGGGATCAAACTCAGGACCTGGAGCTTGCGAGGCAGGTGGCGGCACCACTGAAACTGCCAGCCCTGCACAGTGCTTTTTGATATCAGATGGTGGGACTAAAGCCACAGATGTTTCTAGAATAAAAGGTTCTGAGCTCTGGAATGCACTGGAGGCTCCTGGAGAGTTTCTTGCAGAAGATCTTTTGGATCCACCTTTCCTCCAATAGATTCCTCACTGGCCTCGTCTATTTCCTAATCATTATGTTTAGTATGTCTTCCTCCCCCAGACTAGACTGCAAACTCTTTAGAGTCAGAGACTATATTTACCTTTTTTGTTTTGTTTTGTTTTGAGACAGGATCTCACTGTGTAGTTCAGGCTGGTCTCCAACTCACAGAGATCTTCCTGCCTCAGCCTCCCAAAGGCTGAGATTAGAGGCATGTGTTACCATGCCCATCTACATTTATTTATTATATTTATTTTTAATATTCTTCTAGAAACCCTGTATATCCTGTGCTTATCCATCCACCCTCTCACCCACTCACTCATCCACCCATCCCTCCATCTAATTTCTGATACTTACTATGTGTGTGAGATACTATCATTAGTGCTGAGAATAATATATCAGGGAAAAGAATACAGTTCCTGCTCTTGTGGAGCTGACATTCTGGGAGGAGGTGACAAAATAATAAATCAAAATCAAAATGAAGATAACTTACATTTACTGGGTCTGTGCTGTGTGTCCCAATTAACTGCTTCACATGACGCCTGTCACTTAATCCTTACACCAACTCTGTGAGGTCACTGCCATTTTTGTCCCTGTTTCACAGATGAGGAAACTGAGTACTTGGAGATATCAAAAACTAAAGAGGGATCTGAAATTCAAGCCTAGGTCTTTCTGATTTCTCGGCCTGAGGGTTGGCAAACAGTGGTCCATGACACACCTTCCAGTGAAGCCAGGTTTCCTGGGGTACCACTTGCTCACTCCTTTCTGTCCTTTCCAGGCTGCATCCACACCACGCCAGAGTGGAACAGGCCTGCAGGGCTTACTCTCTGGCAGGATATCACAGGAAAAGTCTGCCAGTTTATCTTTGCCTAACCTAGGCCCAAAATGAAGTTCCCTGAAACACTAGATGACCTGATGCCTCCATTTGCTAACGAGTGACACATACATGCTTTCTAATAACTCTTCTGAGCACTGATGGTGTCGGGACACTTGAGGGCTCCCCCTGTGCTCAATTTCCTTCCATCACTTGACCTTACAAAGAACTCATTCACCTGCAGTCATAGTTAAAAGCTAAAGCCTGTGTTTAACCTCCCGTTTTCTTGGCCTTGTCTCCAGCCTAGACAAGAGAATCTATTTATTACCTTAAAAATGACAAAAGAAGTTAATTAGGATTTGGATACTAAAGTTATCCTCTGAGATGAGATTGGGTGCGTTCAGGGTGGTATGGCTGTGGGCTAAATTTATCTTTTGAGAATGCAAGAGATAAATTCAAGCACAGTTCTTTGTTCCTGCTTCATTCACTGTCTTCACTCAGCCTGGCTTTTTAGGAAGGGCAGAGACAGCAGTGAAATTTAGGACCAATATTACCAGGGAAAAACACACTTGACAGCTCCATTAGTTTGGCAGTAGGGCGGGGTGAAGGGATCTGAGCCAGGAACGGACTCTGGGCATCAGGTGAGGCTGGCGCAGGTGCCTACTCTCTTAGCATCAGTAAAGGAAGACACAGCAATTCCATAGCCTCACAGGGTGTGCCCTGGTGGGGAGAGACAGTGAAACAAGAGGTAAGGCCTGGGCATCCTGAAGATCACACCACTGTCAAGGCTGAGACACTGTGCTCTAGAGGCCAATGGTGAAGCGGAAAGATTGCACAAATGCACGCACAGTGAGTGTGCGGACTTGGTACGAGCCTGGACCTGGTCCCATACCGTGCTCACGAGGACCACCTCTCCGGCAGGATATTCACGGGGCTTTTGCTCAGTGTGAGGCTCGGTGGCTGTGTTGCGCCGGCCATGGTGGAGCCTGCCTGTGATTCCAGTGTTTGGAAGGCTGGGAGTTTGAGGCCAGCCTGAGCGAATATAGTGCAAAGTGAGATGCTGTCTCAAAAACATCAAAGGCAGGCAGGGAGGGGGAGCAGCGTAAGACCTTGTATAGCGGTCAATTCTCCCATCGACTCTTAGAAGTAGGTATGACCAACCCCATCGGATATCAGAGAGGTTAAACATCTTATACACAAGCCCTATAGCCAAGAAGTAACACAAGTTGGACCTGAACATCAAGGTCTGAAACACTTCCTTGGTACAAGTATCTAAGCATTAATATAATACAATGACATCTGACTTAGAAAGTTGAAGAGGCCAAGAGAACCTCATGATTTTACCCTTCAATCACATTAGAAAGCTGCGTGCAGAGGAGCTGTCACTGACAGCTCGTGGAGCCGTATTAGGTCAACCTCTTGTAGCCCCAGGGTTGGTTTGGTGAGGCGGTGGCATGCAAGGCTCTCAACAAAAACATGTGCTATTTGTTCTGATGTGCAGACAGGAGCACAGACTTCTGTGACTGTCCTGGAATTGGTGCTTTTAATAGACAGCAAGGGGCTCCGGCTGAGGTAAGCACTAGGGCCACCAGTGGACACAGCCCTCTGCGTAAGTTATTAATCACACTGGCTCTGCCCCCATTTACCTGCCTGAAGCTGACGGGCCAATCATTCATATGGATGGGTTTTCAGAAGCAAAGTGGGAGCATTTGCTTTGGCCCCTGCCCACTACAAGGTGATGCCAAGGCTCTGCCCTTCCTTCTGTGATTTTTCCACCTGGTAAGGACCACGAGGTTGGGTCCAGCTGCTCCTTGGGTCACAGTCCTTGGTGTTTCAAAGTAGGTGGGTGCGCTCTGCCCTGAGCACCTGCAGGAAATAGCCTTCCCGGTCCTTCTGACAACACGGAGGAAGACTCCCTCCAACTGACCCTGGATCCCGTGCAAAAAGCCCCTTCCCGCTCCATCTTGCTTCTTTGCACTACTCATTCCTGTTTCTTGTCCTCTTCTTTTCCATTTCCTTGTCTTCCTCAGAGAAACTTTTGTTCCTCTCACTTGATATAAAGTGAGTGACACGCTCTTTGGAATGGAAATGAAGATCCCGTGTTCTTCTATCCTTCTTCCTTCTTCTCTCCTGTCTTTGGAATTTTCCTAGCAAGCGGTTCGGGATCCAGACCTCAGAGTCTCACAGAATGATAAACAGTCCCATGACAGCCTCAATCCCATCTGTGCCACGTCCGTGGTTGGAGAGTGGGATGAGAGCTGGCAGTGCTGTCTCCAGGACTCCCTGGCGTCATCTCTGCACCCATGGCCCTTCCCACTATAGAGAGCCGCTGCACACACAGGGCGAGCATGTCAATGTGAATGCAGCTCAGATGCACAAAACCCTGGGGAAGCCCTGCATCTCCTCTGCTCACTGACCTTGCTGGAGGAGGGCTGTGGCACAGAGGCTCTTTCTCATCCTTGAGGGCGCTGAACCACACAGGATTCCTGCCACATAGCTCTCTACCCATCCCAGAGCACACAAATCCCTAAGACTTAGAACTTATCACAGACCTTATCCTACAGTACACAGAGCTTGCCCGTTGGGATTCAGTCGTTAGTATTCCCCAGGCACCTCCAATCGGCCACTGAAGTCTGTTTTCAGTCCCCCAAATAGGCAGCAACACAGCCCTCTCCAAAACCGTCCACAGCAGCCATGTGCCAGGTAAGAGAAAAACTGTTTCTGATTAGTTACTCCAGGTCCCTTTCGGGGTGAGCAGTTGGAGATGAAGCCTGCAGACTTTGAAGAAGAAACCGCAGGCTGCTCCTGTTGCTCCAGGGAGGGGTGAGTGTGTGGGTACAATTAACGGACTAGGTAGGCTCCACTTAAGAGAATCACTTGCCTAAAACAGGCGCCTCTGGCTGAGGATCTAAAAGGTTACAACCCCTTTCTCCCATCCTCCAGGAGGTGCTCCGGCACGTTTGAGTACGTTTCAACCTCACCTGGTAATTTCTTCTTTCAGGGCAGCAGGGTCTGCAGGGTAAAATTTCACGCGGAAGCACATGGTGAAAGGAGGCTGCGCTGCAGAGAAAAAGTGACAGCTATCAGGGGAGAGCCTCTCCTAGAGGATGACTAGGTCTCCCAACCACCAGAAGAAAACCCGTTCAGGCTTGAGGCCAAATGAGCACAGCGGAACATCGCCTGTGCAGACCAGGACTTCATACTCAGGGGGGTTTCATACCACCCTCCCTAGGGGTGAGGCCCCGGTCATCACAGAGAATACTTACATCTCAGTTGCTTCACCACAGACTTCGTAAACTCCAACCAATGCTGAAACAAGAATGCAGGACGTGAAAACCGTAATGAGAAGCAGTGTCAGATATAACTTGTTTTATCCAATTTAAATGACTTAGACAGATTGCAGCCTAGGGTGGAAACAAATCAAAAACTTGTGTAATATACATTTGGAGAGTAAAAAGTGGTATGATTTTCTGCAACAAGCTCCCTGTAGAATCAGCTGTGAAGGGGGGATCGTTCCAGCTTCAGATGCCATTCCTGGGCTTCCCTGGAAAAGCTGTCTCCTAAGCAGGGTGCCAGAGTTCCAAGCCATGGGTGTGGCACGGAAGCAAATACGAAGGACTGCATAATGTGCAGTGGGGACAAAGACCCTCCTGGCTTGAGCAGAGAAATCTGAGTGTACTGGGTGCTGTGTATTGTGTTGTGTGCCAGCTTTATTTATTTTTTTGCAATGCAGTGGGATAGAGGCCATCAGTAGCACATATTAAGAGAAACTGCATAATGGAGACAAGGCAGAGATGACGGCTGGTATATATTTCCATTTTTGTTTTGCATATCATAGATTGCCAACCCTTGTGCTAGAGAACACTTACTCTGGGTTCCTTGGCACACATGGGATATAAGTTTTATAAGATAATTAACTACAGCCAATGTGTAGGATAGTTCCTGTTCCCTTTGGGTTTTTAGAGGCTGAACATAGGAGCGATACATTTTCCCTCATGGCACTTAAGTTTAGGGGAAGGAAGTGATGAGACCAATCTAAATTTGCTTCTCAGTTCTACACAGGCCCTTCATAAAACTCATTATTGATGTTTGTTGCTTTTACACTACGCTGGTAACTGCCAATCTGCAGAGAACTAAACTGCTATTATTTGGGGGCTGATTGCCTGGAAGTGGCTTAAAGTCCCCAGGTGTAAGCTCTGAGAGGGAAGGAAACTGTCCTACTTGCCAGTCACCAGTGCCTGCACTGCTCTCAACATGGGGGAGTTGAGTGCATAAAGGGACCTGATCCACAGGGCCCCTTCTCCTGGCTACTTCTACTTTACATAATGCCTTGGCAGGTGCCTCCCCCAGCAGCAAAGCAATTGAGGCCCAGCTGACAGCACTCTGGCATCCCTCAATTCCTTGCTCCCACCTTCCGGGCTGGACGATAGGTCACCTTCTGAGCTGACATTCTGCTCTCCAGCTTCCTCTGATCTAAGTTCCCGGGAGGATGGCAACTCATTCTAGCCACTCAGTGTGGTTAACAGGTCCTCCTCACATCACGCGGCCCACCGTGGGAAAGCAAAGGCCAGAGATGAGACCCCACAGAAATGGCTGAGCTCCAGGTTGTGCCTGAAGAGGCAGAGGAGCCTGCCTGCTCTGAGCACTCTGGGCTTGTGTACTGGGAGAGGAATCTGACACGTGTCAGGGACTCAGTAAACACAACACGCCTGGCCTTTAGGCTGATAGAGTAAAATAAATAAACAAAGGAAGACAGAAATTAGAGACATGACTGTGTCAGCAGAGGGTGGTGCTGAATGACAAAAAGGCTGGAGAGAAGACTAGTCTGTACTTTAGTAAGAGCTCGAGAAAGGGCCGAGGCTGGAGGAGATTAGGGATTGGAAAGCTGTCAGTTTGTCCAAAGGATTTGAAGGGTCTAGTAGAGAAGTCTTGAGAGGATCGCAAGAATATAGTGATTGCCAGAGTTGCTGTTTACAGCTCTTCTGGTGAAATCTGGTGGTTCTCCACTAGCAAACTGGTAACATGGGGTGGAGGGTTTCCTCCTATATTTGGGTGAATGGGTTTAAACCGCACAATCTTCGGACTGTGGGAACTGGAAAAGTCAGAAGGGAGGGCTGAGAGGAGGAGAGGCCATCTGACCAGCACTCACGGGAGGGGAGGGCAGCTTCTCCAGCAGAGTTCCAGAGAGCCCCAGACACTGGAAGATGCTTGGTTCACACTGCTCAGCCCGTCGAGGAGGAGGAGCAGTTTATATACCCTGGGGCTCTGGGGCGCTCATCTCCTCCCTCAGCAGCAGGGGCCAGCAGTTCTAGGACGGCTCTTTACAGGTCCATTTCCCTGCAGCAGCCCTCCAATAGTATCTCAAGCTTCAGCTCTCAGAGGCTCTCAGAGGATGTGATTCCAGCATGGAATCTTTGAAACCAGACAGGCTCTGGAGTCAGGACTGACATAAGACTGCTCTTGCCATTTGCCTTGGTTAAGCAAGTTAATTAACTGGTCTGAGATTTTATTTACTTATTTGGAGATGGCTATTATAGTTATGGAGATCCATCTCATTAGCCTTAAGGATTATGTGAAGAGCACGTGTGAAACTCTTAGCTTAGTGCCAGACACAACTCAGTAGACAGACATCAGATAGATGTCTGGGCTCACAGCAGGCACTCCCAAAATGTTTATTTCTCATCTTACTCAATTCTTTCTCCCTCTCTCTCTAGCTCCTTTTCCTTTTAATCTTTATCATTTTCATGTGTGCTCTTATTCTCACACACAGTCGAAACAAACAAAATTAATCCACAGACACATTTAACCTTTTTTCCTTCATACACAACTACCTCTGGGAGATGAGAACATCATGGGGGTAACTTTTTATTTTTTATTTTATTTTTGAGACAGGGTCTCACTGTGTAGTTGAGACTGACCTGGAACTCACTATGTAGCCCAGGCTGGCCTCAAACTCATTAGCGATCCTTCTGCCTCAGCCTCCTGAGTGCTGGGATTATAGGTGTGCACCACCATGCCCAGCCTTGGGGGTATTTTTAAAGGAAAGTTCAGATCAGACACCCACATTCCATTTGTGAAACCATCCCACTATTTTATAGAGAGTGGGCGCCTGGAGCAGGGGAGGATATGGAGCTTTCTGTTATGACAGTACCTGTGGCCTTGAACTAAGGTTCACACCTAAGCAGATGTAATTGCTAAGTGACTGTGTCAATTGGAGTAAGAAACAGCCAACTAAACTGGCTTAACATAGCTGTGGGTGTGGATACCCACCCTAAGGAGGATTGTTGCCAAAATGGTATAAAAGGGAAATAAAGAAGGAAGGCTCACTTCTGTTACTTTGGAGGAGCTCCAGCCTTCACCTTCACCTTGGACATCATCTCCTGGATTTCAGCACAGACCCTTAAGCCTCATAGGGACTCACATGGGACACTGAGCTCCAGGCCTTCAATCAGATCCTTCAGATCTGCAGTGTGCGGATGGACCTTTCGCAGTCTTCCACACCCGACTGCGGCCAGCCACTGTAAGCCAGTTGTGTAAATTCTTGTATGTGTATGTCTTGCATTAGATCTACTTCTCCAGTAAGCACTGACACAGTCATCAGAGTGGAGCCTCTTTGCCACTTTGCCACTACTTCCAAACACTGGTGCTGCTCAGAGCTCTGCTGGGCTGGGAGGAACAACTCTGTCTGTGGAGAGAGGGGGTGGGGCTAGTCAAGGAAAGGGAGACAGTCTTTCAGAACTTCCCCTAAAGCTCACGTGTTTGAAGCCTTCCTGGAAGGCCTGGAAGGCCAAGATGAACAGAGCATCATAGGACAAACAGCTCTTGACTCTGACATGGTAAGGGGCACATCTGCAATCAGAATCAGTGCTGAAATGCTGAGCCCTCTAGGCCCAAGGGCCCCAGAGACAACAGAGACAACTCCATTTGGAGGTTTGAGGAAACTCCTCTGGAATACACGCGCAGATGACCAGAAGTGGCAAAAGCAAGGCCATACAGAATTGACTCACAGTGACCTAAATGCATCTGCAAATTGTCCTGCTTCAACAGAAATGCCAGAGAGAGAATGAATCAAAATTATAGAAACTGCAGGTGTCTGTAAGCCAGGCAAAAAGAGGTAGGAATAAGGCACTATAACCATTAACTTAGTCACTGATTCCTTTCAGCAAGTGCCTACTGAACACCAGCTATATACTGGGCTGTGCTAGTTACGTGGGAGAAGGTTCTGAATAAGACCGAGCCCACACTGTCTTGGAACTTACTTGCAGGAAGCACAAGCAGTCACAGCGTGCTGTAAGGAGCACCAGGGTAGGGGATCTCAGAGGCAGGCAGGTTGCGAGGAGGGCCCCTAATACACAGCATGATTAGGGAAGATTCCTGAAGAAGGTAAGCCTCTTAGGGAAGATCATAAACATGGAAAGGAGCTAGCCAGAAGGAAGGCATGCAGGGTGAAGTGAGGAGAAGCACATTTCAGGCAAGAAGACTACAGAAGTGAAGGCACTGAGAGGGAAGAAGTCACGTGTGTTGGAAAGCTGCCCATCCAGGTGGCCACAGCATGGAGGAGCCAACTGGGGAGACAGAGCTGAGGTCAAGAAGGGAACAGAGGATGCAGACTTCTTTCTGTCTGTATCTGGACCACTACAGTCCTTGTCAGTGCCCAGTAACTACAGTGCTGCCTGTGTTGTGTGGACCAGAGCAAGAATCACAGGATTTGCAAGGTGCTGAAAGGCCTATGACAGTTTGGCTGTTTCTGTTCTGCTGAGATGGGGGTGGCACCTTCACAATGGGAACAACATGGTTAAGCTTGTTTACTAGAAGAGGGCAGGAGAGGCTCCCCTTAAGCTCCAGGTTCCCAGACCCAGTAGTGGCCTCTCCCCGAAGCCTCCAACCCTAACTAACTCTGGGCAAACCCCTTATATTCCTTAGGGTGCCATGTCTACATCTGTAATAGGGCAGGCTCTCTAGGTGAGCTGCAGCTAAGGTGCCTTCTGGGTCAAGCTACAGGGTCTGGCTGGTGCTTCACTCCTGAAGTTAACTCTCAATACGCAGGTTCAAGGCTTTGGGCTTATTGACCAAGCCTCAGCTCCCTTAGTGTTTTGACTTTTGACTTACCCGCTGCTTATCTGGGTCCACAAAGCGTATGCCAAAATAGTCTTTCTCCAGGAGGTTCAGGTGGTGGCAAAGAAGGTCAAACAGGTACTGGCCCTTGGCATCTCTCTGCAAAGAAAGCAAGCCCCGCTGGAGAAACGAACAGTCTTCTTCAGTGTGACTTTGTCTTTATAGTCATTAAAGATTTCTTATAGCTGTGGGGATGAAGGGGGCACATAGCTATCTCTGTGTCCCCATTACTGTGATGCATTAGACATATTCCGCCTTCTGAGGTTTTTAGCTGGAAAGAGCCCAGCAACTCACAGAGATATCAGAGAATTCAGAGTTGAGTCAGCTAAGTCAGATCCAATCTCACGTACAAACCTTTCTCACACTAGCGGGAATAGGGAATGTCCACGTGGAATACAGTAGCAATTATGGCATATCCATGAGCTCTGCCTCTAGTATACATACCGAAGCTACGCATAGTGGCACATACCTTAATGCCAACATTGAGCCCTCTATGGGCAACTTAGTGACTTGGTGAGACCCTGTCCGAACCAACCAACCAACCGACCAACCAAAAGACCAACCTGGGGGCAGTAGATTAAAGGCCCTGGGTTCAAGTTCAATCCCTAGTAAAACACAAACACACACACACACACACACACACACACACACATATTGGATTTGTTCACTTTTTTCATTCTGATTACAAACTCCACAGGTCAAGCCATGAGCATCTTTCAAATGGACCACTGCCAGTACCTTCCTGTGGGCTTTCTGTTTCTGCTCTCAACCCCCTCAGTCTGATCTTCATGCAGCAACAAGAGTGATCATGATTTAGGTATAATGCTTTTGCCAGGAAAGTAATACAGGCACAGTGTAAGCTACTCCAGTGTACCAAAGACAGCACAATGGGAGTCAGTTTCCCTTCTATTCATCTCCCCGTGGTCTCAGTTCCTCTCCTCAGAAGCAATCTGCTGCCAGCTTCCCAGGCATCCATTTTGTACACAGGCAAAACTGTACACGTGGATATTGTCTCAAAAAAAAGAATTAAGATGTGTTATGTACATGTACCAGCTTCCAGGATAAGTGTGATCATTATGTGCACAAACATGTACTCACAAAAAATTTTAAAAAATCTATTTGTGGGCTGGGAATTTAGCTCAGTGGTGCCACATCTGCCTTGCAAGCTCAAGGTTCTGAGTTCGCTCCCTGGTACAGGGAAAAAAAAATCTACTTATAGTTTTTTTTCAGTGATGAGATCAAACCCAAGGATTGGCACATGCTGGGCAAATGTTCACCACTGAGCCATGTACCCAGCCCCCATCTATAACATACTTTTACACTCTATCCTGTTTCTTCTTTCCCCTTACACTTAGCACATACAGGTGTATCTCAGGTTGTTTTTGTTGTGGTTTTTGGATTTTTTTTTGCATTGCTGAAGATGCAGCCCAGGGCTCACCCATAAGAGGAAAGTGCTCCACCACTAAGCCACATCCCTAGTCCTGCCTCCAAGACTGTACATTCTCTACACCACTGTGATGAACCCCAAGTTATGCACTCGATTCAACACCGGCAATGTGTTTCTCATCTATTGCACACAGTGTGGCAGTGAACACACAGTGACCTTTAATTACCCTGTTCACTTCTGCTTAACACCACTATGCCTTCCCACTGCTGTCAGAATAAAGTCTTACTCCAGTCCTGGCTAGTACCACCCCACATAGCCTGGGTTCTACCTTCCCCTGAATTCATCCTACAGCCTCCTCCTCACTGCATGCTGGCCACAGCTTTTCTTTCCTTGAACACACCTCAGATCTCTGACTTCACAATCCCTTCCCCTGAATGCTCTTCCTGCAGCTCACACCAGGAACTCCTACCCTTGAGGTCTCAGAGGCATTCTCCTCTATAGAAAGGTGTTTCTGCAGAATGGCCCTTCTGTGTGGCTTTATGTCCCTTATAGCACTTACAACACTTTGTAATTATCTTGTTGACTTGTTTACTTTTCAAGACTGATTTTCATGAGGGAATGATCCCTCCCCCAGAACTTAGCACATGCCCAAAACAGGTAGTACTCAATGATTATTTCTTGAATAAATTCATGAACCAGTAGATTAAGGTCACGGTTAGAAAGGTTTCACCATGTGTCTTTCAGGCTGTTTATAAAGCACAAATTATGCCTCAGAGAGCTGCCTGGCTATCAAGGATAAGCAGGGAGGAAAAGGAATCAGGGAATTATCCAAACATTTGAAGCTTGCAAAGCATCTATCTCTGGACCTGTCCCCAGAGCTCATCTCAGATGACTGTCTCTGGAGGGTACACATCCAACTTTAGGTCCAAATTGAGGCTATCTTATATATTCCTAAGGACTCACCTATGCTAAAGCCTAAGGCCATGGTTAATCACAGAAAGGTCTGGCCCTTCAAGAATGGGCATGTTTTTAAAGACTTTCACTAAAGGTTTACACCTCACTTCTTCTTTTTTGGCTCAGCCTATACCAGTGGTGGTGAACCCATGGCATGTATGCTGCCGTGGGCTGTTTGTATCACTGAAAGATCTAAAATGTTCATCATCACTACCCTATAGTATTGAAGGAGAACAAGGGGAGGATATTAAATCTCTCAGCAACTGTTATAAAAAGCTTGTCCTTTTAGAAGCTGCAGGATAGGTGGTAGACAGCTCAACTGAAGGAGGAGGCAATGTCTAAGTATCCCTCCTGCTTTCTGGTAGCCTCATGTTTCCTCATATAACATGTTCCCAAAGCAGTGGCCCCATGTCCACACACTTTGGTCCCCAATTGAAAAAGGATACTTCAGAACAGATACAAGGTACCACATTGGCCCTTCTGGATGGTGGGCCACAAACTAGTCTTTCAAAGGACTCCATCAGTTATTGTCTCTTTGGGCAGAGCCTATCGACTACTTCCTTACTGACCTTCAGAGAGTGGAAAAAAACTTAAACTCATGTTTAAGGTTCTCTGAGAGTGGAGAAAATATGTTTAACTCTGTCCCATACAGCAGATCCTGTACTATTATCTCTCCCACAACTGAAATGGAGTAGCATGAGACAGCTGCATATTATGATTATTTTCCTCTGCACATTTTACTTTGCCCCAAGCTGACTACTGCACTGTGATCAGTTAGCATGCATTTTAATGGCCAAAGAATCTTCCACACATGCAGCAACCATATTAGCAGAAGCCTAGGATAGAGAGTGTTATGCATGGCTTGTGTTGAGATGTCCCCCAAAGCCTCATGTGGTCACAGGTGGACCTTTTCCTGGAACTGATTCATAGTACAATGCTAGGCTCAAGGGCACTAGGATTGAGGGTATGAGTGATACCGGCCCCTAAGTAATCTGCATAAAATAAAAGGAGCAAAAAGATGTTGTTGAGGGCCCCTCCTCCTTGTTGCTTTTTCTATCTTCCACCACCATAAACTGTTGCCCTTCTGCCATGTGCCACCCTGCCTTGGAGGCAGCTGATTATGGACTGAAACCTCTACAAACAATGAGCTAAATAAACCCTTTCCTCTTTAACTTTGAGTGCTGGGTATTTTGTCTCAGCAATAAGAGAAAAGTAACTAAGACAATTTGGTACCAGGAGTGGGGTCATTGCTGTGACATTACTTGGCCATGTGGCTTAGGAGTTCTTAGAACTTGGCTTGTGGGAAGAGTTTGGAAAGGTTTGGAGGTGCCAGCTGAAAAAGTAGAGCTAGAACACCTTAGGCTGCACTATATGGGAGATTTTGATCAGAGCTCAGAACATAAAGCTGGTAAAGACCAGGCTGAGGAGGTTTCTGCTAAGAAGAAGTACTGCATTGGCTGTTGGACTTCAGATGATGTGTGTTATAGCTTGGCAGAAAGTTTGCCTGCATTTTGCTCATGTCCAGAGACTTGCCTGAGACTGAGATTAATGATGGTGGACTAATAAATCTGGAGAAGAATTTCAAGGTAGTCTAGTGCTGGGGCCATGGCATAGTTGCTATTGGGGGGCTTTTTAGCGGATCTATGTTGATAATGAAGAGCAAAGAGTCCAGAGGAATGATTTAAAATATCTTCAGTTTGGCCAGAAAGGAAGCTCCAGTAAAACTATAGGCCTCAAAGACAGAGCAGAGGAGATCTTGATTGCTGAGAAGGCCCCTGTTCCTTCCCTTGTTGTTTTTTTCTGAGAACTGTTGCCTCTCTGCCATGTGCCACTGTGCCTTGGAGCCTGCTGATTATAGACTGAAACCTCTACAAACCATGAATTAAATAAATATTTTTTCCTTTAGCTTTGGGTGTTTGGTATTTTTTCTCAGCAACGAGAGAAAAGTAATGAAGACAGACAGTCATGGGGAAAATGTGCTCTTGTCATGGAAATCTTAAGGACTTTAAGTAAGAATCCTGCCTTCCACAAAAACAACTCATTCGCATAGCATGGCACCTCAGATGAGCTCAGAGACTCTTAGCTGGTAGAACTCTAGATTCAGTGGATCTAAAATAAAGAATGGCTTTTCTTTTGCACATGTTAGGAAACAAGCACATAACACTTTACCTATAGACATCAAAAAGGATTTTCTTGGGTTGTTTCTTAGCAATTGGTGCGTCCCCTGCTGCCCACCAGGAAGTAAGAATTCCCTCAGATTCTTATTTATTGCTGGCAAATACCTGGCTATGAGCTGAAAAGCTCTTTTGTAGGCTCATGGGAAGAAGCACCTTCTAAGGCTAGGGTCCAGGTGAGGGAAATGAAGAGAAAGGTAGGAACAGAGTTCATTTGGCAGCAGAATTCCATGAAGGTTAAATTCCCAGAAGAAACACAAAGGCAGAATCTACTCAAGGCACAGCTGAGGAGGCCCTTTCCACAGAAGAGTGTGGCCTACCCCCCTCCCTGGGTGCTCATGCTTGTGGCTGTTGGGGTGGCTTGAGGGGGCCTCTTGTTGAAGTTTTAGGCACTTTGATCATTAAGAAGATGTTGGTGGGGATAAGGCTGTAGAAATCTATAGCTTCCTGGCCTCATGAGTCTCTTGGTACTTTGTTATTAGCCATGGTCTAGGAAGCCCTCTCCCAGCCAATTATATCCAGGAGTTTCTGGAATATTCTGTGCAGCCAGTCTTCTGGAAGGATGGCAAAACCTATCTACTTCC